TACTCGCCACGTCAAGTATCAAGATCGCGACCAAGATCATGTACTCGCCACGTCAAGTATCAAGATCGCAATAAAGATGTCACGTCTTCGATCGCGATTGCGATCAATCGCGATCCCAGCTGGTACTTCGTCAGGCCTTCGTCATCAAGCTTCGTCGTCAATCAGGTAAGTATCCCATATCCTTCCACTTACCTTGTGCCACTTGGCACACTCTCACTCGTGCACGGTCGTGACGAAGTCGCGATCAGGATGAAAGCTCCGATACCAATCTGCAATGAACCCAGGTCGTGAATACAATGTCGACACTGAAAGTCAAGACTATCGAACCAATGATAGATCTTCAACGACAGTAGTATCCAGTAAGCAGCAATGATCTGAATACAATTAGAGACTCAGCCTCTGGGTGCCAMGTGGCACCGATCAATACATTAATCAGCGCTGGAGCCTCGTCGACATGAAGACATCAGGTACGTATTCACAACACCTCACAAGTCCTGATCTCATCCCGAATAGTCACGACCCCTCCTTGAAGTAACGAAGCCGATGATCAGTACAACACGTGGCAGCGCCACGTCAACAGCAATACGTGGCGACTGCCACGTCAGCAGCAAATACGTGGCGACTGCCACGTCAGCAGATCAGAGACAGTCGCTAGCCAGATAGCAAGCCAGCCAGCAGTAACTCATCATGTCAGCAAAGGCCGGCCTTCCTCCAGTCTCGCAGCGTCAAACCAAGGCTGCGAGAGTCAAGTGCTGAAAACAGCGTCAAAGTAAGACAGCCAGCCTCCCCCCCCAAAGTCAAGGAGTCAATGCTCTTATAGTATTGACTCGGGGTCTGATCCCCGGTGGTATCCAACCTCAGCCGTCCAGATCTCCCTGCCTGGAGGGTCTGGATAGATCTGCAACTGTATCCTCTTTGTCCTGGGTTGTAGTCTGGGTACCTGCACTCAACAAGTGAATGAATCTGATCCAAGACCTGGCATGGTACTTTGACTGACAGTTGACTTTGACCTTTGATTTTCCTAAGTCTTGGCGTTCGGTCCCACAGCCGTACGCAGTTTACTCAGGCCGGGGCATGTGTTGGTCACACAGCCCGGCGCAGTCTTCCACAGACTGCGTGGCCTGGGGCTAAGGTTTAGGCCCCAGGTCGATTGCTGAACAGGGTTATTACACTATAATGACCGGGTTCTCTGGGAGTGGTAAGTATGGGCACTGGTTTCTGGAACACACTTTTCTTTTTTCCTTTTTTTTTGGTTTACATCATCATTTTAGTACATAATTGGAACTCACTGTTCTCGACAACAGCCTTGATGTCGAGGTAGGAAAAAACAAGATTTTTTTTCCCTTTGTTGTTGACAGCACACCGATCGCTTTTTTTTCCCTTCCTTTCTTGCCAGTTTTACAAGCCGTCGTACTTTGCAAAAAAAAAAAAAAAAAGGCAGTGGTAATACCACTTTGCTGGATACATCCGAGGAAATGGCGGAAAGGTCAAAAGAAAAGAAAAAGATGAAGGTCCTAGCAGGGGAATCTTCACATGAACTGGATACGAATGGGCACTGCGGCTATCTTGGCGGTCACCTTCTTCTTTCCTTCTTTCTTTCTCCTATTACAATCAGTGGAAGAATAAGGTACCACGAAAGCCTAGCTCAGTTGGTACACCCATGAACTGTTGAAATGGAGGCTCAAGTTTGAATCCGGATACAATCAGATCCCCAGAATAACTGAATCACCTGGGACTGGTCAGCTTGAATGATGTGAAAAGCCGGTGACAAGGTGACGCGGTGACAATGATGCACGCGGCTTAATTCCCAGTGGAAGTCCCAGTGGAAGTGATGGTAATTCTGTTCAGAATATCTTCTCTTGTGTTATCTTCTTCTCCTCTCTTCATCTGCTGACTCAGAGGAGGAGTCCCCTTGAGGAAGTCTAGTTCTGGTTTCCACTATCTATCCATGGGTTCCTGCCATCTCATCTTCCAATTTCACAGCCACAGTGTGACCACGTTGTAAAATACTCGAAAACAGAACTAAGCGTTGCCAAGTGGGGCAACGTTACAGGTGTCCAAGGCCAAGTCCCACTTATGCTGATTCTTCACTTCTGACAGTTTGAGAATTCAGGTAAGTGGGACCTGGCCCCAGGTCCAGCTGGTTCCTGCTTGCACGAGACTAAAGCCCTGAGGGTGGGACTTGGTCCTCGGGACCCATTAAACCAGCATATAAAGAAAGGAAGCAGCTTTGAGTTCTCGCTGAGTTAACCTTTACCATTCTTTCTTTTCGTTTTGTTGTTTAGAGTCTCTTGGACGATTTCTGTGTTCGTGCGTGCCCTCCTTGGGGAGCGACCGTCCTAACACATTGATATACATTCCACTGCCCTGTTACAAGCCCCGGCTGCTGTTGGACTCGCCGCACCACTCAGGAAACAGTGAGCATTTTGGTGAGCTGTCATAGAATTTCAATAGCCCTCATTTTGGGGAATTCCCGCCATCTGCCGCACAGACTCTCCAACAGGTCTCTCTCGACGGTTGCCGGGGAACGGTCAGGTGATCCCAGTGGAATGGAGGAACTAGTGCGGGTGGCAACCACAGACCAACTCCTGAAAGCAAGAGAGTTTTTCGGTGGACGGACCATGCGCTGCTAACTGGGCAAATGCATACAAAGGTCTCGTGGCGGCGGAAGATGTATAACTTATCCATTGCCATTTGTGCTTGTCATCGTCCCAATAGATTCAGCCTGTTGGAATCCTCTGAAGGCACCTGGTTCAGAAATGCATGCCGAAATTCCCGAATGCTTTTTTCCTTCCCATCCGTTTGTAGAAGGGCTACGGCGTTCAATACGTCACCACTGAGCTGACCCTGCCCATATGGATTTGAACTCAGGACTGCATTTCACCAGTTCACAGGTGTACCGAATGAGCCAGGCCCCTTGTGGTTTGTTTATTTGTCTTCGGCTCATCGCCGTCTTGCATTCACAGTTATCTTTACCGGCCGGGTGAAGTCTCACCTAAGTGATCAATGGCAAGACGCGAAGAATTACCGTAGGCGAGGCCTCACCCCCGTACTCTAAGCGCCTCGCCACACCACGCACGAAATGTAAAAAAGACTAAAATGTGGCGGGTGCATCAGGCCAGGTTCAAGCGGGAAGTTTGCACATTTCGAGAGTCCTGTGGCGATGCCGTAATTCCTTTGTACTTGTCCGTTTTTCAACAACTTGTGGCATCGCCACACCACTCTCGAAGTGTGCAAAATGAGAATGAACTTCCCGCTAGAACATGGCCTGATGCACCCGCCACATTTTTTGTCTTTTTCCCATTTCGAGAGATTGGTGTAGCGAGGACCTTCTTTTGCTTGCACTCATCAGTGTCATCACCCGAGTCCAAACGCATGTATAAATCCCACCGTCCGATTCATTCTTGGAGTCCCGTTTTTTAAGACAAAATTAAGTACAGCCGAATCAGCCGATCAGAATCAGCCAGCCGCTCACTGGTGGCGCTTGTCATTCTTATTGAGCATGCCAGTGTATCGCGCTGTAGACTGAAGTACAGGCGATTGCTTGCTGGTTGTGGGTATCATTCAAAAAGAGAGGGCATGGCAGGGAAGCGGTGAATGATAAGCGCGCCTAGTGCTTTGTAGAGCTTGCCAGGTGTAGAGGAGAAGAGAGGAAGAGAGAGAAGAAGAAGGAGAGGACTGCGTGAGATCTCCTTGCGGGCGAGAGTAGTGCGCCGAGCGCTTTGTAGAGCTTGCCAGGTGCACAGGAGAAGAGAGGAAGAGAGAGAAGAAGAAGGAGAGGACTGCGTGACACCTCGTAGCGGGTGTTGCTACCGCGCCACGAGAGGAGTCGATCCTGTGGTGATCGCTGAGGTTTCTTTCTCGTGCAGTTTTTGTTTCAGAGACAGAGGAACACATAGGAGGAAGCAAGACGAAGACGACGCCGGTCCAGGCCTGGAGGATGGCTATGGCGGTACGGGCAACAGCGGCGGGGCGGAGAATGGCGGCGTTGCTGCTCATCGCGGCTGCGCTTCTGGGAGCAAGTGTATGTGCGCAAGATGTTCCGCCCGAAGCCCGGATCCAAGCCTTCACGTACAATGGCGCGGGCTGTCCCACGGGTACCGCTAAGGGAGATATCAGCCTGGACGGACAGGTGCTTACGCTGAAGTTCAGCGAGTTCGGCGTCGCGACAGACCAGCAGCTCGTTGGTAAACGCAAGGCCTGCCAGATCAACATCAAGGTTAATATTCCGGCTGGCTGGAAGTACCGCTTGGACACGGTCAGACTCCGGGGCTACACAGGACTCGATGCTACGGTAAAAGGCTTCCACAAGGTGTTATATTACTTCACGGGGCAGCAGGGAAGCAGTTCGTACTCTATCGAGACGCCAGGGCCGGTGGACGACAACTACGAATATTCGGGTGCCTTCGACAGTGAGCTTTACAGCGATTGCGGCGCAAGCAGAAACCTCAATTTCAAGATCGAGGTTCGGGTCAACAATGACGCCGATCCTGCCGCACAAGGAATGATCGACGTGGATACGGCGGACTCTCAAGTTACTTTCTTGCCCTCGCAAGTGCTTTACTCGATCATATTCGCGCCGTGTTAGAGAGCTTCACGTCACGCGAGCCGAACCGGCGCTTATCTCGAACAGAGGGGGAACAAAGCTGCTTGCCTTGTCTACGCAGGTGGCCACCTACAGACAGAAACGAGAAGAGAGCGCAMAAGTGAGARAGGAGACGCGATTCCCTTTTCAAGGTCGAATTCAAGCAGTGGTGGCCTTTCTTGCACAGGCGATAATCGCTCAGAGARGGRAACAAAGCTGCTTGCCTTGTGTGCGCAGCTGGCCACCTACGGATAAAAATCGAGGAGAGAGCGCAGAAGTGAGAGAGGTGATGAGATCTTGTGTGTGGTGGTCGATCTTTCTGATGAAGATAGGGGGTTGAGAATCTCGGATGTCCAGTGTACAGATCAACTGAGGAGAGGAGAGAGCTGAAAATTGAGTAAGATCAGAATCATTAGATGAAACTCTGTGAATAGGTCTGTCTGATAGAGCTAGGTGGCTGGAAAGTTTACGGTTCGTCATTTGCTCAGTTAGATAACGACGAAGACAGGTTTCTAGCCTGGGTTCGATGAGCCCTTTTTTCAGGCTTCAAGACTAGTGACGCCTAGGGAATAGCGGACAGAGCATCACGCTGAGCACTTGATTTCATCGGTCACCATCTGATTGACGCGTAAGGTTCTAACAATGCCAATTCATGGGTTTTCTCTGTCGTTTCTTCGCGGATCCCATGGAGGATGCTTACCAGAAAGAACGTGAGATTGGCAGATAATCCTTGGTTTAGACTTATGCCCACATCTCTCTCTCTCTCCCTCCCTCTCTCTCTCTCTCTCTCTCTCTCTCTCTCTCTCTCTCTCTCTCTCTCTCTCTCTCTCTCTCTCTCTCTCTCTCT